GATTGAACAGAGCAGCCCCTGTGTGCTGTAAATGAACGGGCACTGTCAGGTTTCAATAGCCAATTGTATCCTGTATCCTGACTTGTTCTTGTCTGAGTACTAGGGCAAGCTAGGAGGCCTTACGTCGAGACTGGCCGTGCGTGTTCGGTGATTGGATTAGCGCCATTTCTGTTTCCTGAGAATTGTATCCTGACTTGTTCAATAAAGATTTATAAAATAAATAAATAAATAAAAAAAGATTGGATTCACGTCTGCTAGAGCTGTCACTCGCATTTCAACTCAAAATGGTCGAAGGAGAAGACGTTGATCTGGTTGCAGAACTACTTTCCACACAATTTGCAAGACGAGCCTTCCACGAAAAGCTGGATATTCGACCGGACAAAAGCGGCTTTCAGCATTAGCTTCCATGTCGATAGAAAAGGACAGCGTGGGATCAAAATGGCTGACCTTTTGCGCATGCGCACTGTCGAATGCCCCGTCGCCGCAGCCGCGGACGTTTGCTTTTGCAGGTAGATCGAAAGACGGTCGATGGACGAAATCAAGATTCTCGAATGAGCACCGAAAGGAGTAAAGCCTCGGCGCCTTGCGCGCATCACTGCCCGGCTGGACCAAAAACGGAACGAATGTCACCGTCGTGTCCCGATGAACTCGTCTGTGCGCACGTCGAAGCGTCTCAGGCGAACGTAGCTTGCTAGCCGCTAACAAGGAGACGAGTTTGTTGGCGACACATCCCGAAAAAGAGTTCAAGCGAGGCTCCAGGGTTGAGATTGTCGCGGGAAAATGTGTGCAAGAAAGACGGCACAGTACGATGAGAATCTCGGTGCAACAGAACAACGTCACCCTTGCAAGTTGGAACCACAAGTTGTTCAACCCAGAGCGGGTCGGTTCACTTCTTCCTCGAAACACTCGTTCTCTACTTGCTATTCTTCAACTGATTCCCGTGTTTGTTTGTAATGACATCCCCGTGAGCGTTTTTTTGTCCCATTTGCTCTCGTTGAAAGAAATGACAGAGTTCCCCAAACTGGGTCCCGCGTGTTTGTCTCCTGCAGACCTCGGTGAAGATTTTTTTCCGTCGTGAACGCCAAGGGCCCGCAAAAATGAAAGAGGAGGAGGAGACAGAGATGCCGCACGTGAAAGAAGAAGAGCAGGACGAAGAAATCAGCAAGTCTCCATTGACGGCCATCATTGTGAAGAGTGAAAAAGCGGATGCAGACCACGATGAGCGATCCCAATCGGACGACCTCTCGGATCCACTTTCTGAAGGTGACGACATCGTGTCACACTGGCGACGATGAAGACGAGGGGGAGGATGAACGCCTCATCCACGAATAGACACACAATATGTATGTCAAAGGTTGAATCAAGGCAACAGGCAGTGTTGAGAAAGTTCATTTTTTGTGCGAATTAGTTCAGCGCGCAATTTTTTTAAAATGAACTTGTTCTGGTTATTAACAAAACAAACCAAAAAGACGAACCAAGTTGATTGTTACCATTCAGTCCCCACTCATAGATGGCTGCAAGTTTCGCCCTGCTGTACAATCTCATCTTCTTTGCTGAAGA